GCCCTCACCTGCGAGATGCCGGACTCGAACTCGTCGGGCTTCTCGCCATTGGGCTTCACGATCTTGGCGCTGGAGCTGAACATGGCCTGTTCCTGGAAGCAGAGAGAGGTCCGGGCTGAGCGGGTCTCCGCGCCCCCGCCCACCCGGCACGCGCCATCCGCGGACGAACGCCGCGTTATCCGCCGTATCCCCAGCCGGGACGCAGGGCCCGCCACCCCAGGGCTGACTTCAAAACGTCTTGTCCTCAAAATTGGGAGAAATGTCCGTGCAGAGCGGAGGCCGCACACTTACCTTGGGGAGCGCCGGCCTGAGAAGAGGCCTAGGTCTCGCGAGAGCTCGTCAAATCTCGACGGCTGAAAGGAAGAGGCGGGAACTAAAGGAACCGGAAAAACCACTGAGAAACGGTGGAAGCCTAGACAGTCCCGGAAAGAGGCTCGGGAACCTGTGCGCTGGTAATACTTTTCCGCCTTGGGAGCCTCTTTTTCCGCGCGGTTCCCGAGAGTTCCTAGCCGCAACCGGGGTCTGCGAGGAAGACCTGGCCCCACGAAAGCAACTTTGGTTACCCCTAAAGATAGAACGTTTAAGAAAAAGGCCAATAACCCAATAAGCATGTCCTTGGGTGAAGATTAAAGAAAAAGGCCAATAACCTGGCCCAGTAGCTCAGTTGGTTATATCGTGGTCCTGATACCCCACCGTTGGGAGTTCATTTCTGGTCAGGATACATACACGAATCAACCAATGAATGCATAAATAAGTGGAACAGCAAGCCAATGTTTCCCTCTATCTCTCAAAATCAGTAAGTGAAAACAATCCTGTGCTGGGAATGTATGATGTCAGCAACCCTGAGGCAGAAAGCTTGGGGTGCAGGGTGAGGGGGGGAGAGCCCAGACTTCAAAGTCATTCTTGACCCCCCCAAGTCCCAGTTCCTAATGTGAATAATAAAGTGATCAGGAGAGTTGATGATGAGTCCTTGCATGGAAAATGAATTTATGGACCTGTCTGTTCAATCAAAAACTAATGGGTTGAAGCTCTTTTCTCTCCCCTCCACCTAGAGCTGTCAGGGTTTTAATACTTTCATCTGGGGGGGGGGGCTCAGCGGTTGAGCATCGAGCTAGGATCCAGGGGATTGGGGTTCAATTCCCGGTCAGGGCACATGCTGGGATTGCGAGCTCGATCAATGACTCTTTCATCATTGATGTTTCTCTCTCTCCCTCTCTCTGAAATCAATAAAGATATATTTAAAAATAATAATACTTTCATCTGTCCGCTGATACAAGAAGCATGTGAGTGAAGTGAAGGTGCAGGCCTGCAATGGATGTGAAAATCACAGGCACTTCATTGAAGCAAGGTCACCTTTCCTATATAACAGTCCAGGATCTTTAGACATCAGTAACCTATCAGGTGGACAGAGGTAAGTGCTCAGATATTATTTGAAATACAGAAATTGGCCCTGGCCAGTGTGGCTCAGCTGGTTGGAGTGCAGTCCTGTACACCAGAAGGTTGGGGATTTGCTTCCCCATCAGGGCACATACCCAGGTTGGCTGCTGGGTCCCCATTAGGGGCAACCAGCCCATGATGTTCTCTCTCGCTTCCCCTCTCTCTAAAATCAATAAGCATATCCTTGGGTGAGGACTAAAAAGTGATAATAAAATATATAGGAATAGTAACACTTTATTTTTATAAACTGATCATTTACAAATGCGACCTTCTTTTGGCCCGGGAGCAGCCAGGCCCCGCCCACAACGCGCAGGCCCCGCCCACGCCCACGCCCCGCGACCCGCCCGGGGACGCACTTCCGCACTGACCTCTGGGAAATTCACGAGCCCGTAGATCTCGCGGCTCTAGGCCCCGCCCACCGCCTGTCGCTCCGACTGTTGCGTCATCTCCGGGCGCCGCGGGCGGAAG